AGTAATCCATTTCGGCGTCGTGTATCATGTCTTCGTGACCGGTATCGACGGTATTTAAAACGGACACCATTTTCAAGAGATAACTCACAGACAACCGATATATAATACACGGAATTGATTCAAAAGTAAAGACGGATCGCACGCCTAAGATGTAGGTTATGTTGACGTAGAACTCTTGTCATTTACGTGGAAGCATATGCGCGAGAATCGATTGCGCATCCTTTGCGCGCGCAACCCCGTAATTACGTACAAACTCTACGTATCCCGCGAATGTAGTCGCATAATTTGTGATTCTCACTTTTATCTGTCTCGTATGAAGATAGTTTGACTTCAAGTAGTTTCATTTGTCTCACACGAAGATCGTATACGGTATTGTATCGCGAGCTACGAGTATTAATTCGTTATATTTATATGACATATTTGTCATATTTGTCATATTTACTGAATAATTAAGAGTCTTGGGTTTTGTACTAGAGTTTCTTTTTATTCATCGATATCTGTCTGTAAACTACGCAAGTAACGATCATTATTGTCATTGCGATTAAATTCAAGTATGCGACAACAGAGAGAATATAGTGTAAAGTTTGGTGTAAAAGGAATTGTATTGTATTTTTACAGAAAATTATTATTGGGAAATTTTTCTAAAATAAGGAGATGTGTGATAACGAAAATATGGACATGGATATTTTATTAAACCGATCTTGTTTACTCCGTTAGAACAGAAGCTATTCCCTAGGTCCTAGGTAGTAAAAAGTAGTCATTGTGACGTCATTTAGACATATTTATCTCGCTCTTCAATAAGATGAGGTAAGACGCATATTACGAATAATAAGGTTAATATAATAACATAATATTAGTTTTATCGCATTTTAAAATAGTATTGCTATTTTTTCGAATAACAATGCGCGAATATTTAGAAACCAAATAGGCGCGCAAATTTACGAGGCATTTCTGACTTTATGTGTATGGCGAAATGTATCTACAAGAGTAGTACATATATGAATAGCCGTACATATTGCATGCATATGTATCTACATACATATATATGCCATGGACATTTACCGGGTTCTGAACGGGCGACTATAAAATTTTCGATATGCCGTACGGTCGAGTGGCAATTGCAATTAACGGTAATTACGTTTGCCCAGTACCCAGCCAGCGGATGCGAAATCACGTCGCGGAATTGTTTATCGATCGCGAGGAGCCTGACAGCTGACGACGATCTCGACGAAGATCTCGATGCATCGCATCGCATCGCATCGCATCGCTTCAAGTATATAAACACATAAGCAGAAGCAGCATAACAAAACGTTGATAGAAGCGGAAATGAGTCTCGCGCGACGCGACACGACGCGACGTTTCGCCTCGATGCGGATGCGGATCGACGCGAATCGTGAGGTCTGAATCGCGTGTCGCTCAAGCGGAATAGTAATTGTGTTTGCAACTGGATTTGCGCAGATCCGTATTGTAGTTAATGGATCTCTGCCGTCGCGTTAATGCATTTGCGGACTGTTACACTAACGCAACTATGTTGGCCGGAAATTATGATTAATCACGATACGAATAATAATAACGATGATGACAATAACAATAGTCGAGTAAAAATTAATAGATGCGGAGGGTACATAACTGCAGAATATTCAATTAGAGTATTCATGTACGATAAAGTATCGCAATCAAGTAAACTTTACCGTTTTATTTTGAATAATTGTTTGAATATTAATAATAGAATAACTTTCATGTATAATAATGGAAATGTTTTTTTATGTTAAAGAATACTAGTTACGAAATCATCTGTGTATACGTACATGCGTGAGCTCTCTTTTTACTTTGTACCAAAAATTTTATTATTTTACTGTTATTATATAAACTATATATACTATTATTACATTATTATTGTTTTAAATGCTTATACATGGTTAAAAATTTATGGTACAAATTATATGAAAAATGCATAATATGGAATATAACGACATTAAGATATTATTACTATAAAAAGTGTAAATTATCTATTTGTTTTATTGTTTGTTAATGATTATGCATTTGTTTGTGCATCAAAGTATTTGAATAATTATAATACTCCTTTGTAAAATATATATTGAACAAAAAAATATAGGGCGCGCGTGATTTCTCTTATATGTTAATATGTTCCACGATTATAAAACAAAAATTATATTGCAATTTTTACTATAATATTTTCTCCATGTATATTATTATATTGACATAGTCAATTGGAATATTATTATATATTTACACGGGAAATGTTTTATTCTCTTAGATATTGGGAACGAGATTACTCATGACGCGTTCTCGAGTGGTTTCTTCATTCAAGCGGAAATCCAGGGCGATGAGTCCGCGGGTTCCGGCTGCTCGCTATCTTCGGTCGCCGGTGCGTGAACGATCGCAATGTCGCCGTGAGATCCGGTCGAAGGAGGATCGTAGGAAGGATCAGGAGAGAGGGTCGCAGAGAATGTCGGTCACTGGGCCTCTCCTCTCGACGACGACTACTCGGTGCCACGCTCGTGCCCCGAGGCCACGTAGGAAGGGCATCGTTCGTATGAAGATTTCCCTATCTTTTCTCCATTGTTCATCTTTCTCTCTACGGCATTCGTTCTTCAACGAATTCCTCATGTTTCCATCGTCTTTCTTCGCGAATGCAACGTCCCAGATCAACACACGCTACTAATGACAAGAAGTATAGAGTTCTTCTTTACACTATTGAGTGTGTATTCTTATCTTTTTTTTATATTTCCGACTAAATTCTCTCACACGTAACAAAGCGAAATGCAAACATAATAAGATTTTTTTCTTTATTGAAATGTCGCGGCAGCGATAGTTTCTGAGTCGCAAACGATCGAAAACAACTTCTCCTAAGGAAAATCTATATCTTTATAATCTATAAAGATATTTTATAAATTTATTTTAGTATAATTCTCTCTCATTTATTTATTCGCATATAAATAAATTATCATTTATTACA